AGAGACAATGTCTGGATTTTCTGTGGGCAATGGAATATAATTGATGGCGTAACATTTTGACTTGATGGCGACCATTTCGGTGATGGTCTGTTTCCCCAGCTCTATTTTTAAGTATCCAGGCACACGATCCCTGCTCGTGTCATAGAGTGGGTGCCATTTGGGCAAAGAAGAAAAATCAAACATGTAACTCAATTCTTTTAAATCTTGGTCCAGTTCAGGTGTAGTGACTTTGCACAAAATCGAGTCAGTGTCAAATGCAATGACCTCCATTTTCTTATCCTTTTGACTAGAAAAATGAGTTTTCATCTCCCAAAATAACTTGGTAATATGGAGCTTTGAATAATCAAGGATCGCACTCGCGACAAAAATGGGCTGACACAAGTGAACTACCTTTTTCAGACTCTCTACAGCGCACATATCTTTAGAAAAAATACGGAAGCCCTTGTAACTTGCTTTGCTTGTCAATTTCAAAAATTCTTCCTCAGTCTGACATATTTTTATGGTGCGGTCAGCTCTAGGCCGACGAAGAAAACTGCCATATAGGGAATTGGCCATTAATTTCCAATAGGACGACATGAAGGAAAGTTTGGTGTCTCGCCTCTGATCCATAAGAAATTTGATATAGGGTTCTAGCCATTTCTCCGTCCTGTATTTTATTCCCCCGTGAAAACGGGTGACCTCCATTCCCTTTTCCAAATAAAACTCTAGCAACGTAGAGTGAATCAGGTAATTCTGCCTCGGCCCTATGACACTCATGAGCTTTGTGGTTTTCTGTGCCTGGTTAAATCCAGTTGCATCGGCCACTCTCTTCTGATATTCTGAAAACCATGCCGGGTCCGGACATATGTGTGTGGGAGCCAGCGGCCAGTCCTCATGGTGTGATGTCTCACCGGGCAGAATGCCATAGGCCAGGTCCACTTCAAGCAGAGCTGCATACGAGCTCTCATGAAGCTCTCTCAAATCCAAAGCTGCACATTCTTCAGCACACAAACGAGTGAACTCGCCCGCCGGGATGGATCCCGCGAGGCAATACGAATACAAGGCATTTACATCTGCATACAATATATGAGAAATTTCTTCTTCTGGATTAAAGTCAGGAGTGAATCTATTGTTGGCCTTGGCGTGCCGTAGCACGGCCCCAGACAAACCACCACGGATACTCTTTTCAAATTTTAAAAATGTATCTGGGCAAGTTATGAGCGGTATCTGACACTTTGCTTTTTTTATCGCACACGCCAGGCTTATACTTGGTGTGCTTACAAAATGGCTGACTTCATAATTGAAGAATCGAGCTGTGACCGCTCTATACTCAAGAAAGAATGCCATAAGCCCGATCACATCTGTCAAACAATATAATTCAGTATATGACAGCAGTGAATCGCACTCGAAAACGTTCCACACCTTTTCTGCCCTCTGGTAATCCTCTTCGCTGACCGCTTCTTGTTTCAGGCGGTTGTAGAAGGCCTCTCTCTCAGGTAGTTCTTTTTGATTTTTCACCCTATCAAACGTGGTGAGGAAATCATAACACATGACTCCTTTCTGCTTTAACAAGGTTTGCTTCTCCTCTTCAGGGAAGACTTGGTGCAAAAGAGACCAACTGTGGTCCGACAAGCTTTGCAAGAGGTCGCTGAGATTTGTGCTGAAATGTTGATAACTGTCTAAAAATCTGATCTCGCGCTTGGTTTTCTTTTCTATAACCAAGGTCATAGTTCTATATACCTCCATATTACGGGGCAAAATGTTGATGTCACAACTTCTGAATTTTTCATGGGTGCTTGCATACTTCATGATCATATGCAAATCAAATTTTGCTGAGTTATGACATATTGCAGGAAGGAAAAGGGCTTTCGAACGAAAGCTGTTGCATGATCTGTGTGCTGCGCCCAAAAGATTGGAATGCTCCAAGAGTGGAGAATGATCACGCACCTTGGGATCTTCGGGATCTGTAAAGCCTTTTTCACAGATCCAGCAAGTTTTTTCTTTTTCGAACTTCTCCTCCTGCTGCACGGTCATGTTGATTGGATAGTTGGGTCTTTTAGAGAAACATTCTTGCTCGATATCAAAAATGGTATCAAGAAAGTGATGAATGAGTTTTTTGGGATCACTATCCGAGTGGACAATGGGCTCACGCAACAGTTTCCCTTGGGAATCGACAACCACCACACCATAACAAAACGGAACGTGCACATTCGTCCTTTGGGTTTTCTTCCCTCCCTCTTGCCCTCCCCTCTTCTTTCCTTCTTCTCCCTCTTCTTCTATCGGTCTGCATAACGTTTCAAAATCGTATGCCAAAAGAAATGGGACGGGGGACATCTGTCGTATGTGCCGTGGGCCAAACTGTAAGAAGCTGCCGAGAGGTGGGTACTTTATTTTCTGACCACCAAACTCTCGACACTCTCGCTCATGGTTGACACGCCTTTCCTTTGTCATAAAGGAGTTGAAGCAATAACAACAGAAAAACGTTTTTCGTTTGTTCTTATTCTGTGAATATAAAAGGGTGTCTAAGGATGTGCACAATACGAAATGTCTTTTTCTTCTTTTTGTCAGCATCAGCAACGTGATGTGGTTTTCTTTCCTTTCTTCCGGACATATGAGAGGAAACAGCTCCTTTTTTTCTACTCCAATCACGCTCAGACTGAAATCCTCATTTAACTTGCTGAACTTCTTGACATCTTTTATTTTCATGTTACTGGATGGTATGTCCCCAAACTCAATAGCATTATAGTGAGCCGCATACGAACGAGGGTCAGGATTACGGATCGGCGGCTCATGGAGTTCTGCCAAGATACTCAGTCTGAAACACTCGTGATTAGTTTTGGTCTCCACATTGACAATGATCTTTTTTCGTGAGAGCCAAGCCGGAGTCTTTATGTAACTCCCTCCTTTTAAAGGCTTGTACTTTGCTAGACTCAACTCATAATAATTGATGTGACTAATCACCCAGGCGCTTCCTTGAATCTTTAAATTTTCTGCTGAATTTAATATATCAAGGAAGGCTGCTTCAACCTGCTCTGTTTCCTCTTCGGAGCCGACCAGTATGGCACGGGTCTCTGAAAACAGTGTTTTTGTTTCTCTTTCCACCCGTACTGCCCCATTCTCTTCAGTTTCACGGCTCGCTTCTATGCTTACATTGATTGACCACTTGAGCCCCCGTGCAAGCTCGAGTTCTTCTCTGAGCTTCTTTACAACTGCACATTTATTGTGAATAAGAGAGAGACCTAGATCTTCGGCGCTCCCGCCCGGATAAAATTTTATAACGCGAGCAACACCTCTCAGAGCGAAGCTCGCTTCGTCCCACACTCCAATGTCTTCGGTGTCGGGAAGGTCTCCGGGTTGGCGGTTGGGGACACTCCCACCCCGAAGCTGATTATGCCTCCTCCGACATATTTTGACATGCCTGTTTTTTTCGTGCAGCGTTGCAAATCTTTTACGGCACACGAAGCATGTATACTTTAGCACATCATTTTTCATCTGACATCTTCTTTGATGGGCGACAGAGGACCGTGGCTTTTTGAAACCCAACAAACAAAACGGGCAAAGGCGAGCTGCTAAATGTTTTTTCGACTGGTGATTATACAAGTGACCCCGAGATCTTGCCAAATAATTGCAATCGGCACACTTAAGTCTTTTATCATAGGCTTTTGGTCCATGCACCCTATTTAAATGGGCTGTCAAACCTTTTTTATGCTTGTAAACAACATCACACACGTGGCACTTGTTATTCTCCTCATGAGATTTTACATGTTTGTCAAAATTGTCTTTACGCTTTATTGTTTTACTGCATACAGCACACACATACCCATTATCTTGATGAGTGAGAACATGCTTTTTTAATTTGTTCGGTCTATCATACTTTTTCCCACAAGTGGGACAAACAACGTACTTGACCATGTTGTTCTATTTTTAGCCATATGTCGTGTCACAATCAGGAAAGGAAACCATTTTACCTAACCTCACTTACCGTGCATGGGTTAAAGCGTAGCGCACAACGTGAGCCAACACGGGACGGAGCGAGAGAGGAGTGCTGTGCGCGTTGGCTTGACAAGGCCGGGGCCGGGCCGGTTAGGGCCGGCACATCTTGGCTGAGGGCAAGGCGCCACAAGGAGGCGTGCTCGAGCGGTGGCCCGGCGTAAAAACTCGTGGCAAGGCAAAGTCGTAGGTCCGGAGCGGAGCATAACGACACACACACACATCACACCGTGTCACACTAGAGCATGCCGCATGCTCACACAAACACAAGTTAACTGGGAACACGCTACGGCGTTTCGTGCACAAGGAATAAGCATCGTCCCTGCACCGACGGCTGCCCACAACTGACCACCTGACACAAGAGCTGGAGTGCGTATCTATGATGCCTCGCCCCTCACCGCTCCATGCCCCGCCGCCCTGCTCTGTCCACTACTCTGCGAAAACTCTAGGGCTAGCGTATATTGCACACCTGCCGTTAATAAGAGGAGCCCCCCGGCAGGCGCGTGTCCGGCGCGGGTCGCTCGTCCTCAGCGGAAGCAGCTGTGCTCCGCCGCGGCCGCGAGGTGGTACCTCGCGAGTGGGAGAGGGGGGGGAGGGGGGGGGGGGCATCGGTGCATAGATCATGATCTTGACACTTCAAACCGACACGGCGCGGCCCGGCCTGTGGCCCAATGTGGCCGAGTACGTTTGGGCATCCTGAGAGAGGGGGGGAGAGGGGGAGGGGGACACAGGAGAGAGGCAAAGCGAGACAAGGAGAGAGAGAGAGAGAGA